CGGTTTGGGCATCGGTTCCATACACTCTTTTCTCCAGACCGACAAATGGGTTCGTGAAAGTTGTTTTTTTGAAAACATTTTTAACGAGCAAGAACGAGACATCGGAGAGTCCATGTGCGAAGAAGATAATGACCAGGGGAACGCTTTGAAAAAACGGTGATCGTAAGGCAAGACATTTAAATCTTGAGTAGACTTGACGTGTACATGTACAAGTACATGTGTTCGCACGGGAACGAGATTTTTCTTGACCGAACGGGTACCCGATTCTTTTCAGCTGGCGGTTCCAAAACCGGTTCCTTACCCGAACCGTTTCACCCCTAGTCGGAAGGTATTTTAGTGTGGTACGGTCAGCCATCTGAAGTACAATTTACTCGTGGGAGAGGGGTGGCTGAGCCAAATATTTTGGAAATTTTAGATCCCAGATTAGTTTGATTGATTCACGGGGTACCTGGGGGCAAAAAGTGGTACGGTCAATACCGTAGTGACCGTACCGTGTCCGACGCCCCTGCCATATTCCTGATGATGCCCTGTTGAGGAAAGATTTGGAAAGATTAGGAGAGGTGTATATAGCCAAGGACTTGTCACGGCTGTGTGTGTTGAACTTGGAAGTAGTTACTATCATGACGAGGCTATAGAGGATGTATGCCATTCTCATTTTATTGATGTTATTGCTTGCGTTTTCCGAAATGTGGACTGAAGGCAATGGCAGGTTTCTGGGCCTACCAGTCAGTTTTATGTGCAGTGTACAACCCCCCCCCCCCTTCCCCCAAAATACATAGGCACACTGAATGCACAAATATAGCCAGGAACAGTGTTGAAATGTTGGATTTGTTGCATCCCGATCAAGATCATTGAGATTCGTAGCATTATCGTATGTATGTTTTTTGTCGCGTCCAAGTCAGGATTGCACGGGTTTGTATCCGAGCAATCCACCTCCAGATCTAGAATTGGGTTGCTCGAAATCCTTTTTCATTTTCGGTAATATTCTCATTCTTCAGAAGAGGGGGGGGGGGAGGGGGTTCTCGAATTGAGGGAATTCAGTGATGTGGAATTTAAGGGAACACATCCGTTCGTACTGAGTTCATCAAAGTGAAGAGATGGTAAAGACAGTACGGGACATTTTCATAGGAAGTTAGGAACCCAATCCCTAGAACCCCGCAATTTGCAATCCTAATCTCGCTTCGACTAATGTAGTACGCCCCTGGTTTCCGGGCGCAATAGAATGGCTATTTGTTCTGTCGTGAAATTGTTGGAGCAATAAGCTGGGAAACAGGACCGAACCTACACAACATGCGTTGTGCAAGCAAACTTCTATTGGAAACTAAAATGATCATCACCTGAAGAGCTGAGGTGCAAATGCGCTAAGCGCCAGATTTGAGAAAGTTTTAGATCGTCGGTGTAATCAAAGACCTAGGTACACAGCCAGGCAAAGTTTCACATTAAAAACTATTTCAAAACTGGAACCCAGAAACGTGGCAGCCCTGTACTTGTGCCCTGTCCCGGCACACCTGGGTAAGAAAGAGCTGTGAAAAACGGGGGCACTGAGTCTCATTAGCATAGCCAACATAACTCAGTCACGGTTGTCCGATGCTCGCTGTGCGGATGAAACTCGAGGTCCAAGCTAAACATCTAAGGAGTCTCGGTGAAGGTGTGCTTGATAATACATTCTTGAAAGTATGCTGGCCGTTTGGTTGGTGAAGTTATGGAGCACATGATGATGAGATGTGTTTTCTATGTAAACGGTCATCTTCAAGAGTTCAGTTTTCCTTGTAAACAATATACAGCTCCAAAGTGTCCAGTATGTTCTTACTACCAGTCGATGCTTGTCTCTGTGCTGTGTCTGTCGGTTTGCACAGCGGTCGCTGAGCTGGCATTGGACATTGTGGCCTGCTCAATAGCTGTACTAGAAACCAGAGTAATAGGACACTCATCACGTGATCCAAGTGAATGATGTCATGTTACCACAGGCTAGCCTGCAGTTTGGCCATCTTGCATCTGTGATGGGTGCAGGCAGTTGCACTGACCAAGTGACGAGGCACACGGCAAGAACTCCACAGGGGTTTTCTTCCAGCAGCAGCACAAGTGTAACACGGATATCGTAGTGAACAGAATGAACGAGACCTGTCGATTGAGCCATGACCTGGCCAGAAGAGCGGTGTTGGCCGTGTGCGCAGTCATCATGACATCATAGCTCAAAGACTGCGGAGAGTACAGTGCTTGTTCTGAAACCTAAAAACCGTACAAATGTACTGTGCACGACTGTCGGAAGGATTTCGCCCGCTCCAACAAGCTCAAGCGACGCGCTCCGACTCACACTGGCGAAATGAAGTTGTCCTGGACATTCTGGGGGTGGGAGAATCGTTCTATCCTCTCTAGAAGAGGAACGAAAAAGCTCTCGGTCGGTAGCCAAGAATGCAGGGTGCATAAAACTTGGGGGCGAATACCCAGGCCCACTTCACCTCACCTGCACAGCTATTTTGGCTTACTGCAGCAAGTCCAGCAACAGCACTGCTGCCACCACCAACACCACAAACAACAGCAGCGGGCAACAGAAGTAGCAGAGGGCAGCAGCAGTAGCAGCAGCAGAAACAGCAGCAGTAGCAGAAACAGCAGCAGCAGCAGAGACAGCAGCAGTGGCAGAGACAGCAGCAGAAGCAGAGACAGCAGCAGCAGCAGAAACAGCAGCAGCAGCAGAAACAGCAGCAGCAGCAGCGTAAACAGCAGCAGCAGCAGAGACAGCAGCAGTAGCAGAGACAGGAGCAGTAGCAGAGACAGGAGCAGTAGCACTGCAGAGACAGGAGCAGCAGCAGAGCCAGGAGCAGCAGCAGCAGAAACAGCAACAGAAACAGAAAAAGGTGAACTCAACAATAAAATTCCGCCATGTGCGGGGGTATCTGCAGATTGTGCAGGAGAGATCCGGAGTTGCACACTCTTGTTTATGTACTCTTGCTGACACTATGGTCAGTATTCTCTCTGTACTCAGTGATCCATTAGACTATGACCAATGTATCCTCGTTATACTTATAAAACTGAGAAGATAGAACAAGACTTTGTTTTGCTTGTCAATTGTCATGCTATGCGATCATAAGGCAATGTATACGAACTAGAACAGGAAACTGCTCTGTTTGACGTGCCAGTCGCTATCGAGCACACTGCAATCAAACTTACGATTCACGACTCTCAACCGCCGGTCCGGGCGCAGGGAATAGTGCCCTTGTCCATGGCCTGCGAAATGGTGCTGGTCTGGAAAATGGTCACACTACGTCTGAAGATGTTGTCATTATTTCTTGAGTTGTTATGGCCAAGGTTGCTATACCAGAGGTTTCTCATCACGAAGTCACATCCGGCTGCGGTCCGCTACCCTCAATTTGTGTGTTTCAAATGTTTATTCTCACTATCGCTATCGCTGTCTCTGTGTGTGCCAGTATTGCGTGGAGCGAGAAATTCTGTTAGCTCGGCGTGCATTTGTGGAGCTGGTTGATTCAGCATTTTAATTTTTTTATTTTTTACTATTATTCACTTATCACCCACTACAATTCACTGGCATCACTGAGTTTATTCCCGTAGCTATGCAGAAGACGGTACTTCAGTAACGTCTGGCACTAGCCAGGGTCCATACAGCTTTAATTTGGTGTTTGTTTGTTTGTGTGTTTGTGTCACGCCTGGCGCTATCCCGTATCTGTCCCGTACCGTCCCGTACCATCAAACACAGCTGGCCACATACAGCTGGCCACAATATTCAAATAGGGCTTTCAAACGCAAGATCATAACGTGAAGCAACTTGGAAGAATGAGTATGAATGCGAAGTGTATGGAGGAATGCATGTAGGGCGATAGTGCGGGTTCAAATCCCAGGTATTGCCTGAAAAAAAGTAGGAGAATTGAAAAATTTATAACATCCCTTTTCTTTTTTGCCGTCATCAAGGCGGTAGACGGTGTCGTATTACCCTCGACCGTACATGTCCCGTACCTGCCCCGTACCTATCCCGTACCGTACCGTACAATCAAAGATGGCTGGCCACAATGCATATTCAAATAGGGCTTTCAAATACAAGATCATAACGTGAAGCAACTTGGAAGAATTAGTATGTATACGAAGTGTATCGGGGATGCATGCAGGGCGATAGTGCGGGTCGAATCCCAGGTTATGTCTAAAACAAAAAGTAGAAACTTATAAGAATTTATAACATCCCTATGCTTTTTTTGTCTAGGTCATCAAGGCAAAAAAGCATAGAGTAGGGCCCTGAGCTTCCAAGCTCTCTCGTTTCAATACACATGTACATGTACGCCTTTGAAATCATTCCACTGGCATGTCCTCCGGCCCTCGCTCTCACTCACCCTGCAGAATGATAATTTTTACGAAGGATAATGGCGACCGTTCAGTGACTAGTTTGCAAAATGGTTTGTCTCGCCACTTTGCATGTACCCAGCTCCTATCATGAAATGCACTAATAGCCAATGCGCATCATATCATTGGTGGCAAACCGTGGCCATGCATGCAGATGAATATTTATGAGCCGCCAGCAGCTGGCTTCTGATGCGATTCCTATGCCATGAGTCATCAAATATGATGAAAATTAATGATGTCATCCAAGGGCGATTCATAATGACCATTGACCACGTCATCATGAACAAGAGCTATTCAGTACTCTGCACATGCAAAAATCAAATTCCTGTTTTTGCACACAAAAAAATATGCAGTGTCTAGAAGTAGGCTAGAACCGGTGATGCACACACACATGCAACAGTATACTTCAAAATCCACACGGCCAACCTTGCTAGCTGCAAGGAACTCGAAGAAAGCACGCATTTCAATCTGTCAAGTCCCGGCTTTATGTGATAAATGTTTTACACCCAGTACATAAGTATTCCCGGGGGCCAGTCATAATCTTACAACTCCTTGGTTCTCACACTGCATGCACGACGATCAAACGAAGCTTGCCTGCGGAATCCGTACACGTCACTATGCGTACGAGCGTCTCAAACAGCAACACGGAAATGTACAATCCACCATACATGTACTGATAGCAACCTGATACTGATTGTGTGGAGGGGAATACCCTAAACAGACGAGAATAGATAAACAAAGATCCTACTAACACTCTAAAAACAAAAGTACTGACACTAACAAGCAAACTGTCGAAATAATACTTCAGTAGTAAGAATATTTTTTCTAAAATGCTCCTGTGAAAACTATTGTAGCTAATTTGTGTGCTTTTGGGATCATAACTTGAATACAATTATCTAAGAGGCATGATTGTCCAGCCCTATAACTGCGCTCATGTGCTACGGAGAGGACCATAGATAGCCACAGGCGAACGCCGCTCCTGCACCAGCCATGCCTTGGCCGGAAACCATCAAATCAGCAGCATAACCCTAGAAAGTTTACGGGCAGCATCACGTGGATGAAGCGTGCTAGAAGAGAAAGTTACAAAAATCCGCTTTTCCAGCCAACATTATCCACCAACACCTAACCAAAAAATACTAGATTTCCTATAATAATAATAATAATGTCAGTTCGCATATCACTCATTGCATGAGGTCAACGCATCTGTTGACAATTTCGAGCCAAGCAGCTCTATCAGAAGGAGATTGCACAGCATCCAGAAGCGCGAGATTTCCTATAAAGAGGAGAAAAAATTACAAAAAATAGACATACTAGTAGAGTTGTCTAGAGCGTCCAAACTGGGTTAGAGTACGAGTGCAAGGAACGTTATCCTACATGTCTCATGTCAACATGGGATCTTGCACTCCAACCTGACTGAACATCCAGAAACACGAATTATTAAATTTTAAGTTAGATGTAGAATGTGCCTGGTCCGAACGTCGGAGCTCGCGCCTCCTACCGAAGAACTTAGTTCGTACTTATGTTAGATCACGCAATAAGCCCGTGTTCACGTGAGAGCTGTTCATACATAGGTGGAGCAGCTGGGATGCCGCTGAGCTACTTCTCTTCCTTGGATTTGGCCAGTATGTCGAGGTTCTGTGCAATGAGTCTGCACAGCTCCTGCAACGGGAAAAGCAACAGAAATGCAGAATAGCGGTGCTCATGAGAAGTTCAGCCACTGCTGACGGAGGCGACTCGAGGCCACAATGGGTACCAGTGGTTGTACTGTCGTGGACATGGAAATCCAGTCGATTGACCGGCGCCGGCGCCCTCAGGGCGTACAGAACCGCGCTTGATCGGTTGCGACCAGCATGCTGCAGCATGTGTGCACTGCCTACCCGGTACCCACGGCTGCATGGTCAGCGCCCTGGGGCTGCTAGATGTGCGAACGGATTTCCATGTCCACGACAGTAGGATGTGGATGTGTAGGATTGGGGGGGGGGGGAGAGAGATAGGGTGCTTACAACAGGAGCGTATACAGACGTCGACATTGTCTGATATAATAAAGACAAGCGGCGAGAGTTTAAAAGATGGGGTAGTCCGTGATCTATTAACTGGTTTAGTCCGTGATCATCGATCTTTTTCACGAAAAGAAAAAAATATTCGTTTGTGGGTGGGAGGGGTGAGGAGTGTTTCGTTTTAAGAAAATTTTAATATTGATAGCTGAAACATTAATCCATTCTAGCTGTCAAGTCAATATATTTTTCGTTCTAGGGGGTGGGTGGGGGCGGGTCATTACTAAACTTTTTCGTTCCGTGAAAATGATCGATAATGCCGGATGGCCCCTAAATCGATTGCATTGCACTTGGATATCTCCGTCATGCAGACATATGCCCTTATCAGGGTTCTAGCCAGATCCAAATAGTGGGGGGGGGGGGGAGGGGGCAGGGGAAACAATTACGTATCCCCATTTTCTCCATCTCCCAAATTGTCTTGCCACGCAAAATGCAACGTACGGTGCGAACCCTGACTTCACGCCAGACAGATGTGCGTTTATGAACCCTTTTCTAGCGACTATCGAGTGAATTTTCATTGAATGGCAGGAAAAAATTGACAAATGAGGGAGAGGGGGGGGGGGCTCCACGTTTTTTCACAGAGGGTATTCAACTAGGGTAGGAGGGTGTTGCCCCCCCCCCCCCCCCCCGCCTCCTCCCTCCCCACCTTTTCCTAGAACCTGGCTTTTACACTGCCTCAACAGGAATACAGGAAATGGGGTGTTAGTAGAGGGTACGGCTCCTTTTCAGACCGGTGCATGCTGATAGTACAGGGCTCAAACTCACTTTCTCTCTTGGTATTTTGATTAGAAAACATACATGGCAGTGAAACTACAGAGTGTTAAACTCTCAGCCAAATGTTCATGGCTTCGTGAAGAGGGAACGGGTGGAGGATGTCAACAAGCCTTTCCAAATCATTCCATATTCGTTTCGATCTCACACCTTCATCAGCAACCCTCTCTGTCCTTCTTGATGATTTTTTCAGACCAAAAAGTCAAGAAAAGTTTCAATGAACAGTGCATAGCTGTTGCAGCTCGGCCAAAAGCTCTTAAAAGAGATGACAGTAAGATTTCAGTATAGAAGGGTACCTAAACTGGTCATATACAAAAAAAACAATGGAGAACTCACCGGCAGAGATGCCAGGTCCTTAACATGGTCCAATGTGGTCCCATCCGGATCATCCAGCAGGGTGCTGAGTTTCTCCACTGGCTGTTTATACACTTTTTTGTGAGCTCTGTACACCATGTTCCAAAAAGTAATGGCCTCCTGTGCACTGGGGAGAAGCTCGACCATGCGGAACTCCTTCGTACTCCGTACGTACTTTGAAGCCATGAGTGCAACATGACGCAGCTGAACTAAATTCTGCACAGAGTTTAGGGAACACACGCAGCAGAGCAAGAAAAAAGTGACAATTATTTTGCTGAAGATGCACTGTGACCTACTCGCAAGAAGAGGGTACTGTGCAGGCAGAACATTTCGTCGGTCAATAATTTCGCCCAACTCCAAAGAAAGGGAGTTCGTCCGGTTGTAAATTTCATCCATGGATCACAAGAGTGTATGGAAGAACTGGACAAATCGACATTGGTCCGGCATTTAATTTAGTCCAAAAGCTCCTTGGACGAAAAGGATGAAATTAAATTCCAGACGAATAGTTCTGCTTGTACAGTATATAAGTGGCAAGAGAACACAACATGGGAGGTGTAGGGACTCCAAGGAGCCGGTGAGGCAAGCTGCAGTTTGCAGCAAAATCCTAGAGCAAAAATTATAGTAAATCCTTTATAAAACGTGGTCCATCGGTGAACCAGAGAAAACTTACTTATTGGCAAGGGTGCTTTGTAGGAGTGTTAGCCGTGGCGTAGGAAATTTGAACCCAGCCCATATACATGTACACATTCAACACGTTACTCATTGCTCATAAAAATTGGTCCTCGCTCTTATCCAACTGTACAGTAATTTCACTGATTTTACGTGCACCATAATTATCCTTGGTACTTTCGGTGCATAATTCTGTGAAGCGTTTGCCCTCTCCCTTGTCCGAACAAACTCCTCATCTAAACTGCAGCATACAATTTCCCTGTACACTATTTCTCTCTGATCCGCACGTCCAAGTTACGGGAACCTTGGTCTATCGGGCGCCCTGTGGACGAGTGTAAGTGGAAATATTACTACTGTTTTGCCATTTTTTTGCGGAAAAGGTGACATCATACGGCAGATATCTCGCCCTTCGCCATCAACGTATGTGATTCAGTGTGGCTGACATTTGCAGGTTACGGACAGTGCATGGGTAAGAGAGATAATTATAAGTGTATTGCAACACAGTACTGTCGGTCGCCGAAGAACTGGGGGTCAGCCTCCTAGCCTAGACCGTTCATATGTTCAGTTGATTCACCCTGCATACATTGTTATGCTGTGCTTGGCGAAATTCTAGGCCGGCCGTTCTTCGGCGCCCACCAGTACTGCGCGGCTAGCTGTGTGATTAGTCAATTCTCAGGTAGTGAAACAGGCGATAATACCGACCCGTTGCCCTACCTGCTTAGGTGGCACACTGGAAAGTGCCTCAAACACATGAAGTACATACTTCAGCACCCTGAGAAAGACATCGGGGTGGCCTGGCGGTGAAAGCGCAAACTCTTCAGCACCACTTGCAGCGGCAGCAGCAGCCTCTGGCTGGGGTGGATCGACGTCGCTCGGTTGCTTCTGCAGATCCAGCAGTATCCTTGCCGAGCTCTGCACGAGTAACCTCAGCACGCAGTCGAGCACCGCATTGTATTTGTCGAACCCGGGACTCAGGTAACCGTGTTCGTACAAGGTTTGGACATTCTGCACTGTGGTGTCATTAAAATACGTGCATACCTCTGCAGGAAGCACATAATCATCAGGATCATCCATCAGCTTGTTGATGAATGGTGGAGTCAGAGGGTGAAGGTGCGATTTAATCACGGGTGCCATTTCGGCCAACTCTGTAGTCTTCGGTCGGTACTGTGGAAGATAATAAACGAGAAAAAAACAGTTTCCACGTTAAAGTTAAAAGAATGAGAAAGGTATGGACTCGGATGGAGAGCCAATGATCAATTTATACAAAAGAGAAAGGACCAAGGAACTGCGAGTTACGCTATACTGTCCACTAACACCACCAGTTACTAAACAATCAGCACATGCGATAACATTGCACGGCACTGACCGACGGTACTGACGTTCTACAACTAACTGGCTAACAGCTCTAGCACATCATGGATTCTCACTCCAACAGCCTTCCAACTTAGGAGGTTCTAAGTTATAGAAATAACATGAGGATGGGAAGGTAAGCGCAATCAAGATAAGCACGAGCTGAAAGTCTCAGCTGTGAAGGACGTCGGTGGATGTCACAGCTGAGACTTTCAGCTCGTGCTTATATTGATTGCGCTCACCTTCCCCTCCTTATGTTATTTCTATAACTAACTTAGAACCTTCCAAGTTGGAAGGCTGTTGGAGTGAGAATCCAAGATGTGCTAGAGCTGTTAGCCAGTTAGTTGTAGAACGTCAGTACCGTCGGTCAGTGTCGTGCAATGTTATTGCATGAGCTGATTGTTTAGTATCTGGTGGTGTTAGTGGACAGTATAGTGTAACTTGTAGTCCCTTGGCCCTTTCTCTTTTGTATAAAATAATTAATAAGAAAGGTGTTTGCCCCCCCCCCCCCCACACACACACACACCGGAACTCGCGCCTTCCAACTTTCTTATAAAATCATCGCCGAAGTCGTTAGCACTCTTGTACTGTTATGCCCAATGCGGGCTTGCGACAAGTTGGTTTTGAGGTGACAGCATTGAGAATGACCGAGGGTCCTCGACGTCTGTTCTCGCCGTCCATGAGAGAAGCTGACTCACGCAACTATCTGGTGTTCACGAGGTGTTTGTCGCTCTGCATATGGAGCGTCTCTGTATGCTTGTATACATGGCAATGGGTTCGCCTGGAGAGCACTGCTATTATAAGTGGTGCTCTTCAGACACAATCTTCCTCATTCTTCTCAAGCTCTGCTGATGAGGAGTGAATTCCCCCAAACACGGGGTATTCAGCAGGGAGTGGCGCTTTCTTGCAGGTTTGCTGAGTGGTAGGTTTGAGGGTCTTCTCGTGTACTCTGGATGGCAGTCGTGAGTCAGTCAAGTGTCAAGCTGGCGGAAAAGCGCGAGCTCCGGTGTGGGGAGCGAACACCTAGTCTTTTCTTAGAAAATCTTCACCAAAGTCACTACGGCTATCTCGCAAAGTTAAAGAATAATATTCCATACATAGCAGGCTGAGAGCCAGCTCCTGAGGGGTGGTATGGCCCCAGGTCTGCTACGTAACTGATTATCCCGTCCCCTTGTCCAATTTTAAAATCCTGGAAGGATACATCCCTAGCTCGATGCATCAAATCTGTTTGTTTTAGCTACACATTGCTCTAGCAATAGATATGACAGCTAGCGCAGCAGACTTCGAAGGACGAGAACCACAGTTTAGGAGAGAGAGAAAGAGAGAGAGAGAGAGAGAGAGAGAGAGAGAGAGAGAGATAAAAAGAGAGAGAGTGTGTGTGTGTTTGATAGAGAGTGAGTGCGAGAGAAAGAGAGAGGAGAGAGAGAGAGAGTGTGTGTGTGTGTGTGTGTGTGTGTGATAGAGAGAGAGAGAGAGAGACAGAGAGAGAGAGAGAGAGAGAGAGAGAGAGAGAGAGAGAGAGAGAGAGAGAGAGAGAGAGAGAGAGAGAGAGAGAGAGAGAGAGAGAGAGAGAGAGAGAGAGAGAGAGAGAGAGAGAGAGAGAGACAGAGAGAGAGAGACTCTAGCCAGGAGTGTAGTTGGATAGCTTATTTCTAGTAGTACTTCCAGATAATCAAGTGCGCACTGAATAGCCCATGATCACATGAACGCTGGAATTGGTTACAACTGCTGAGGCCATGGCAGCACCAGCCGTACCAGTGGCGCCGGCCCTGCTTCGGGTCGCCATAAACTATTATGGAAAAATAAAAAATAAAAACATCGCTACAAGGGCCACTTCCAACACAGCACACAGCACACAGCACACAGCATACAGTACTAGGCACTACCTTCCCTGGAAGAATTCACTGGAAACACCGCTTTGACGAAATAATAGAGATTCTGCACAATGTAAAGTTTGCACTCCACTCACGGAAAGTTGTCTATGTAGAGTACGTGAGTAGGGCTCTGAGAACCGAGGTGCTCCATACGTGGATTGGGATACAACATGTATGATTCTCTACCCAGGTCAGTTAATTGGGAACTTGCAGCCTGGCACGAGGGAAGCATGGATGCAGCGAATGGGTTTTTAGGCCTTTTCAGTCACCACTTCGTGGTGGATCTGATCTACTCACCTCCCACCGCTTAGGCCTCGGTCACACTACAGCAAAAATGCTGCATCAGCGTCAGCATCATGAGATTTCCGGGGCAACTGATGAAGACACGGGGAATTTGAGCATCAGACGCAGCAGCGTCTGACGCGAGCAAATCGGCTGCGTTGCTCCTGCCGCTGTATGCACTTGCACCAGAAACAGTGTCTTTAGAAAAATGGAGAACCGTACCGTACTCTATCACAGGGATTTGGTTTGCCACAGAGTGGTTTTGTGAAGTGCCTCAGATCGCGACGGCAAAAGCAAAAATGCAGTGTGACTCCACGTCAGCGTCCAGCTTCAAACTCACCGTTGTGTGACCAAGGCCTAAGGAGCTGCATCTGCGCCTGGATCCTAGAGGGTGGCGGCGTTCCTGCAGCTGCGGAAAACTCAGCCTCCAGCCTCACCTCCCGCAAACCGGGAAAACATTTCCCCAGGTCGACCCGGTCGTACACTTTACGCATTCGGAGTTGCCATGGGCAGCTATGTGATGCGAAAACTCTACCGGTGAAGATCACACACACACACAGTGACTCGAATACATCTCTAATATTTTTTTTTTTAAAGTGAACTTTGTACGTCCGCGTTAGGGCCTCGTCAGACAGCGGCAAAAACGCAATATTCCTGTGATTATAATCCGAATCTCCATAGAAACTTGACGCGAGAGCGGCGAAATCGAGGGTAGACGCTCCAAACAAAGAAGCAAGAACGGACCACGTTTTCCGCTCCAAACAAGAGTTTGATGATGATACGCGATTGACGCTGATATTCACTGACTTTTTCATCTCGATATGAAAGAGCTAATTGGCCACGGACAAGAACAAAACGCATAAGGATTGCTGCAAGGATTGCACTGAAAGTGTTGGCGATTTCCGAGGCGAAGGAATTTGCCATTGCTCGTGGAGATTACCACTAGACGCTCGAGATGGATTTTGAATTTTCATTCTCCCCACATGTGTAGTGTGATCGCGATTCTAATCCTGGACGATTTTCTTTATTCGCCATGCACCGAAAATTTGCCGGAGTCTGATCAGGCCCTTACAACCGGCTATACGACCCTGTAAAAGGAGCTGTTCTCACCTTGCCGAGCGGATTCCCATATCCGGATTTGCCTTCATATATTGTTGCCATCTCTTGCCGTGTCAGATACTGGAGACGTGCCAGAGATGGACACAGAACCTTGCAGTGATCAAGAGCTCCGGAGATGGGGAAGGTTCCCGGTGCGCCCTCTCTGTTCAAGAAGCAGGACATGAAGAAGGTAAATATCAAAACGCCGAGTTCGCGTTTGAACTGCGTTTTCTCATCCTTGCTCGCTGCCGCCAGGACGTAAAGGTCAAAACGCGTGGCCCATCGGAGCTGAAAGATGCTTTCAAGAAGGCGCCCAGCACAGCAGCAGTCCAATAGGATGACAGCATTCCTACACGGTGAAATGCACGCATACAAATCACAAACGAATAATATCAAAAAGGTGACACGGAGACAATAATCTTTTAATATTGCAGTGAATAAAACTAAAGGTGCAATCGAATCACGATCATCGCAACGAATAAATTGTTCCAGAACTTTTTCTCGTCACAATTGTCAATGCAAACTCGTGACTGAAGATGAAATTAGCAATAGGATGTATACACTTGGAGTGACAAAAGCAAGTGCATGTATACTCTTATCAACAAAAGTGCATAAACAAGAGTATGCAACTGTGGTTATGGGTCAGTGAGCGACGCGCTGCCTTCATGACGTAGCTTGGCTTCATCACGCTCTGAAAGCATGCATTGAAACCCACAATTTCTCGTACGAGCCCATCCGATTTTGCTCGATTCGTTCCAGTACCAACGCGATCTCTAAATTCTGGCGCGAGAACTCCAGTTCCGTACGAAAGTTCATTTCAAACCAGAGGGAAAGTGCGGTGTTTGATTTTCCGCAGTGCGCGGACTGCAGCTGGATGATGTAATGAAGGCAGTGCACCGCGCATCTGACCCATAGAAAAGAGATCACAGTTGCATACCCTGGTTTATGGACTCATGTTATTAATTATGTGCTACCTTCTTAACCGTACACTTGTTTGTGTCACTCCAAGTGTATACATCCTATTGCTAATTTTTATAATTATCTTCAGTCACGAGTTTGCATTGACAATTGTGACAAGAAAACGTTCTGGAACAATTTATTCATTGCGATGATTGTGATACGAGTGCCTATAGTTATATTCATTGCATTATTAAGAATAATATCAAGAGTTTTAAGATGGCAATAAACAGAATCAGCTGAAGTGACATGTTACGAAGGTTTTATTGAGATGTAAAATGGCGATGGACAAAGAAATACCTGTGAAGGACACTTTTACATCTCAATAAAACCTTCGTTACATGTCACTTCAGCTGATTCTGTTTCTTGCCATCTTGAAATTGTTGTCACCTCGCCGCCTGTTCAAATATCAAGAGTGCAAAAACAAGAGTATGCAACTGTGGTTATAGATCAGTGCGTGGCGCGCTGCCTTCATTACGTAAATTGCGTCCATCACGCACTGAACGGATGCACTCAAGTCCCCTATTTCTCTTACGATCACATCTGTTTTTGCTCGATCTGTTCCAGTACATAAGCGCGATCTCTGAATGACGGCGCTTGAACTCCAGTTCCGTACGACAGTTCCTTTCAAAGCAGAGGGAAAGTGCGGTGTTTGATTTTCCTCAGTGCACGGACTGCAGCTGAATGATGTAATGAAGGCAGCCCGCAGCGCATCTGGCCCATAGAAAAGAGACGACAGTTACACACTAATCTCATGGACTCTTGATAATATTCGATGCAGGAGATCCATATTCCTCCAGAATTGATCCCAGATGCACGCGCACACGCACGCATCAATGAACACATTCACCCAAACTCACACAATCACAAATGCGCATATACACTAGTGCTGAAACGATTACGTTTTTTCCTTAGTGGCTTAGCTGATACCATAACGATCGGCTTATCGGCTAAACGACTATTATTGTAACTACATGAGTACATGTACATTCTGTGAATTTCAAAATTTTACGAGTCCAACATCGCCAACGACGGAAAGCGGGTGCATAGATCCGATGTTCCCGCAACAAGTCTGTCAGCTGTTCGGACTGACCAGACGAATACAGACAAGACAGAGGCAACTCACTGGTTGCAACCCAAGCGCTGATTGTGCCCTTCGCCGGTGACTTTGCTGACTCCGACGATGAAGTCAGAGAAGCCGGCCAGGGGTGCAGATCGGCGGATTTCGACGGATGAGCTGATGCGCGGCGCACCAACAAGTAACTAGTTGCTTTTCCTGTCTATGCTCAAAATAGGCCCAGACGCCAGGCCTAGCTCGTCGTCGAGCAAACTGGTTCTGGAACCATCGACAGAACGGAAAACATGAAACTGAAGACCACAATACTGTCTTTAGCTCGAGACTACTTGCACGTGGAGGGAACTCCAGCCCCTGCAGCTGGTGTAGACACATACTGAGCCTGCCCGTCCTGCATGCTGCATGTAATAGACCAATCCCGAAAAGATTGTCTCGGTTTGAAAGGGGGCATGTCACCTGAGAGTACACTGTACAACACATACATGGCACTACCCGATCAGCATGCAGCACAGGATGTGTTTGATAGTTTGCGTGTAAATGCGGGGGTAAGTACACGGTTTTCTCGTTAGTTGCATGCAAGAGAGACGATCCGACGGAAAGCAAATATTTGTGTGGGTTTCTCCCTTGCACTGATAATGTTCTGCTGTTGGAGTTGAAGTGCTAAGCCATAATCCTTGTTTCGCTCTTCTGTGTAGTGTGAAGAGGTCAACGAACATGTAGAGCTCACTTTGATGAAGTAGGCAAGGCTGTGAGCGCTGTGGCTCAAAGCGATAGGCCCTAAATCGTACGAGATATTTCGAGCGCCATTGTTTGTTGCGAGCGCTTCGTCTTCGATGAGTCTTGCCTCTTTCCTGTCAGGTTTCCTCCTATAGGACCAAGCATGAAGTAACTGTACTCATCTGCAGCCGATCAATGTTCTACTGCGCAAGAAGATTGCGTTTTCTCCAAGCCAGTGCCCCGCCAAAGACCATCGCCATGTCACAACGTCGGAACGAGTTCATGATGAGAATCATCATTCGCGCGAGCTTGATGAAGAACTATTTCGAAACACAACATAGTCTCTACCTCCGGGACGACAACTATGCGCCGGTCCTGGAAGGGGAGAATGTCTCCAGCGATAAGAACGAAGACGACGGCGATATTTCGGCAACGTGGAGTCAGCGGAGTTCGTCAAGCTCTTCCGCCTCCGGGATCCGGTACATGTGCAGTAGGTGACATGTCGACACGAGCGTGCGGGAACACAGCATACACTGTAGTACTGTTGCGAGAGTTTGTGGAAGGAGTCCAAGTCGGGAAATCCATCAGCTCCAAAAGCTACCTGAAGGTGGGCGATGAGACTCCAGCTTCAGACTACAACAGTCAGGACTTGTAAATAGTTGAACCTTGTGAAGCAGCAGATCGAGAAGTTAGTTGAAATCGTAGCTTTTGCAGTATGTCGGCGCTATGTAGCTTGTATTTTTTTACGGAGAGTCGATCGCCACGCGAATGTTTCTCTCCTCACCGAGAGCTAGCTGGCCTCCAAACTCCGTCAGGGTAAGGTACCGAAGGTCCTTTGACTAGCTGCTGGCAGGACTCCATCAAATCCTTTAGCTTCAGCTCGGCAAGCAAAAGTCTCTCTCTCTCTCCCCAACAATCTTTTCGGGATTGGTAAGAAAAGTAGTCAGCTCAAAACTTCACACGACAAAAGACGGCGACGGTGATCGCGTCGATGCTTCTCAGATCGCGCTTGTACTTTACACGTACATCGATGTTGCAAGTGGACAGTCATGTACATATTCGTGTCGTACTCGCAACACTTTCAATGCATGCACGCTTTGTGCGACCCCAAAACGGGGGAAATCCCGCACTGAGCGTAAGTACATGTACCATTCTACTCGTTTAGCCGATAAAATCGAAATAACCGTTCGATCTATTTCTTATCGAGTAAGTAACGAGTAATCGATATAATCGTTTCAGCACTAATATACACCCCCCCCCCACACACACACACACATACAAGCACATACAAACGCACACACACGTGCACAGGCACACGCACACATGCACACCCATACACACCCATACAAGCATACACACACATACACATACAAACACACACGCAGACACATATATACGCACACATACACACAAACCTACACACACACATACACAAACACGCTGACCTTACGACCACACCAGTTTAGGGCAAGAACTCCTTAAGCTGGATGCGACTATAGGTTTTTTGTCAGAGTCTACTAAAGCAAACTCCTTGTCGTTCGGGCTACCACTGCTCTTCGGAAATTCACCTCCATGGCCACTAAAGGAGAAGAATAAAAGTCCGTCCTTCTCGACCTGTAATGGCAAACAGAAACGAGATTTCACGATGCACCCAAAGGTTTTAGCCATGCTTACCCCAGAGGGCGGGATGGGGTATGGGGGGGGGGGGGGGGGGGTAGGGGTAGGTATGTTTCAGTAATGAGTATGTTTGTGTGTGTGCGCGTGTGTGTGTGTGTCAAAAAAATGAAAAATTTAAAAATGAAAAATAGGGATGCACGGGCTAGAAAAGGCCAATTCAATCAGCTGTGTGGTGGATACCAGGCTAAAATTAGTGGCGGTCAATTCATCAGCCATGCAAGCTGTTGAATGGCGTAATTCCAGCACAAGTTGCTATGTTTAACATAGCTGTTCTCTATCATCGCTACCGCGATGGGCATGTCTGAGTCTGAGTCTGAGTCTGAGTGTGTGTGTGTGTGTGTGAGTGTGTGTGTATGTGTATGTGTGTTTGTGCGCACATGCATGTGTGTGTGTGTGTGTGTGTGTGTTTGTGTGTGTGTGTGTGTGTGTGTGTGTTTGTGTGTGTGTGTGTGTGTGTGTGTGTGTGTGTGTGTGTGTGTGTGTGTGTGTGTGTGTGTGTGTGTGTGTGTGTGTGTGTGTGTGTGTGTGTGTGTGTGTGTGTGTGTGTGTGTGTGTGTGTGTGTGTGTGTGTGTGTGTGTGTGTGTGTGTGTGTGTGTGTGTGTGTGTGTGTGTGTGTGTGTGTGTGTGTGTGTGTGTGTGTGTGTGTGTGTGTGTGTGTGTGTGTGTGTGTGTGTGTGTGTGTGTGTGTGTGTGTGTGTGTGTGTGTGTGTGTGTGTGTGTGTGTGTGTGTGTGTGTGTGTGTGTGTGTGTGTGTGTGTGTGTGTGTGTGTGTGTGTGTGTGTGTGTGTGTGTGTGTGTGTGTGTGTGTGTGTGTGTGTGTGTGTGTGTGTGTGTGTGTGTGTGTGTGTGTGTGTGTGTGTGTGTGTGTGTGTGTGTGTGTGTGTGTGTGTGTGTGTGTGTGTGTGTGTGTGTGTGTGTGTGTGTGTGTGTGTGTGTGTGTGTGTGTGTGTGTGTGTGTGTGTGTGTGTGTGTGTGTGTGTGTGTGTGTGTGTGTGTGTGTGTGTGTGTGTGTGTGTGTGTGTGTGTGTGTGTGTGTGTGTGTGTGTGTGTGTGTGTGTGTGTGTGTGTGTGTGTGTGTGTGTGTGTGTGTGTGTGTGTGTGTGTGTGTGTGTGTGTGTGTGTGTGTGTGTGTGTGTGTGTGTGTGTGTGTGTGTGTGTGTGTGTGTGTGTGTGTGTGTGTGTGTGTGTGTGTGTGTGTGTGTGTGTGTGTGTGTGTGTGTGTGTGTGTGTGTGTGTGTGTGCGTTTTCTCTTGAGAGAGGAGGAAGCAGTTTTTGGGGCTCCGAACTCTTCTTTCTTCGTAGTGAGTTTAGGGCCACGGGCTGGCTCCTGGCTTCTGCCAGGGCCAGCCCTGGTGAGTAGAAAACACTTAGTGACGCGGTGTTAGACAAGGCAGTCTTCATCTTGCTGCCGCGGAGGAGGAAAAATTCAGCGTTGACGACATGGCCACTTCGGATGTGACCACTCGCGCTGACCCTCTTTCGCCTGGGTGTAGAGGTCTTGCAAACCCTCGCCCAGAGTCTTTTCACTCGCGTGCACCAGCGGCTCGAAAGGTTGTTCTGTCTCTGGGAACGTGGAACGTCAGGACTCTTGTCGACACTGACGGAAATTTGAATACGGCGTCCAAAGCAAAAAAATCAAGGAAAGTTTGTTCGAATATTCGCGAGGAGAGAAAAATTGACCTTGTGTGTCGTCAGCTCAAAAAGTATGGAATGGACATCGTTGGCCTCCAGGAGACGCTTTGGTTTGGCTCTCATCAATATACTGTCGGAGATTGCTTAGTTTTGACAAGTGGTCGCCCAACACCGACTGGGGATGAGCCTGCTCGTCGTGGTGAAGGGGTTGCTGTCGTTTTGCGAGGCAGATGCAGGGAGGCATTTGAACGCGGAGGCTCTCGCTGGACGGCGGTCAGCTCCAGACTCCTGTCATTGCAGGTAAAATTCGTATGTGGTCGGAATCAGTCTGTGTCTTGCCTGCACTTCGCTGTGGCGTATGCCCCCACGTTTGTCAGGCCCCGTGAGGAGAAAACTCAATTCTACGCAGATGTCCAGTCCTTCATTGACAGTATTCCCAGGAACGATCAATTCGTCCTTCTTGGTGACTTCAACGCCCGTGTTGGCAGTGCTGGTGCGGATGGTGACTGGTCAGGTGTCAGAGGCCCTCATGGTTTTGGTCGAATGAACTCAGCTGGAGAGGATTTGCTCAATTTCTTGTCCAGAAATGGTGCCCTCATATGTAACACGTGGTTTCGGAAGAATGATGTTCATAAGCATACCTGGTTTCATCCTCGATACAAACAGCCTCACTGCATTGACTACTGCATCATTCCTCAGAGCCGACGCTCCCAGTGTATTGATTGCCAAGTCATCCGGTCTGCGGAATGTGATACCGATCATAAATTCTTGGCTATGAAATTGCGCCTGGCAGAGAATCCCTGTTTCCATCGTACCCGTGCTGTCATCAGAAAACCCATTGCTGTGTCCAAGCTGTTGTGCAAGCCTGGCGGAGATGACGAACCGGACACTCGTAGGGTCTTTCGCGACATGCTGGATGCAGAGTTGGAGGGAGCCTGGTCGCATGAGCCATCCTTGGATGACTGGTGGACTACCATCAAGACAACAACTATCAAGGTTGCAGAGGATTGCTTGGGCAGAGAGAGCCGTAGACAGCCGGAGTGGTTTCGGGATAGTCAGGCAGAGCTTGAACCTTTCCTACTGGAGAGGGATCGGCTGTTTGCTGTTTGGGTGTCTACACGCAAAGTCAGTGATTGCAATGCCTATAAGTGTGCCCGCAGCTCCGCGCGGAGGGAAGTCAGACGCGTCAAGCAGGAATGGCTACTCAACAAGGCCCAGGATTGCAAACGTTTCAGCCTCACGTCCAAGGGTGGCTGGGAGTGCATCAGACACATCCAGGCTGCGTTTCAGGGACTAAAACCGAAGGTCACAACAGCGATCAAGAATTCAATGGGACAGGTTTGTGACACCCCCGAGGCCACGAACATGCGGTGGCGGGAGCACTTTGGGGGAGTTCTCAATATCGTCAGCGACTTTGACGTGGAAACCCTCGACTCTATTCACCAGCGTCCGGTCTTGGGGGAGCTTGCGGATGTTCCCGACCGTGTGGAGATTCGTAAGGCCATGCAAGCACTGAAGAACGGCAAAGCTTGTGGTAGCTCTGAAGTCTTTGCCGAGATGCTGAAGTATGGTGGTCCTGTTCTACTGGGTAAGCTGCAGGCATTGCTGGAGGAGGTATGGCGGGCTGGTCGAGTACCGCAGGATTGGGTGGATGCCATCCTGGTCCCTATCCCCAAGAAGGGTGATCTGAGTCTGACTGATAACTGGCGCGGGATTGCCCTTCTCGACGTGGTTGGCAAGCTTGCTGCACGGCTTATAGCGGACCGTCTGCAGCGTGTTGGGGAACAGTATCTGCCTGATTCTCAGTGCGGTTTTCGCAGGGGCAGGGGCTGCTCGGATATGGTATTCTCTGTTCGGCAAGTCGCGGAGAAGTTGCATGAGCATTCTTCCAAGGGATTCGCAGTATTCATTGACCTCCGAAAGGCCTATGACTCGGTGCCGCGGGCCGCCTTGTGGAGGGTGCTTGCAAAGCTTGGCGTGCCAGAGGTGCTGGTTTCCGTAATTCGATCGTTCCATGTCGACATGTCAGCATCTATACGCATTGGTGGCGAGCTGTTGGAGCCGATTGCGGTGGGGAACGGACTGCGTCAAGGATGCACCATGGCCCCGATTCTTTTCAATTTGTACATGCTTGCTGTTGTCGAGAAATGGCATGAAGCAATAGCTGGTGACGACGAGATTGGACTATCAATTTGTCAGTTTCGTCAGGACAGACTGTTCAACACGCGTCTCCGAGCATACACCAGGGCTCCACTAACGGAATGCCAGTTTGCGGATGACTCTGCACTTCTTGCCAAGACTCACCCCGGTGCAGAGAGAGCACTCGCTGGGTTTGAGACTACTGCTTCTGCCTTTGGGCTCAAGGTTAACATGGCCAAGACAAAGTTCATGGCTATTGGGACTGGGGTGGTGAACGAGGACATGGCACCTTTAAACGGCACGGTGGAGCACGTGCACTCCTTTCGTTATCTTGGATGCCATGTGACACCGGATGCCAGGTGTACCTATGATGTGTCGCGTAGAATTGCTGCTGCATCGGGCGCTTTCCACAGTTTGAAGGATGCAGTGTTCTACAACTCGGACTTCACCATCGGCATCAAGCGTGTAGTCTATGGCGTCACTGTTCTGGCTGTCCTCCTGTATGGTTCTGAGACTTGGACAACACGGCAAAGGGACCTGCAGCGGCTTGACGTGTTTCACCATCAGTGCTTGAGGATGATCTTGCACATCGGTCGTGCACGCCAGATTGATGAGCACATCTCCAATTTGCAGGTGCGGAAATGGTGAGGCGACTTGGAGCAGCCGGCTGACAAGATTCGCAGGCGGCGGCTGCAGTGGCTGGGCCATATGGCACGTATGCCGAGGGGCGACCGCATCCCTCGTCAGCTGTTGTTTGGCTCCTTGCCATCGAAGCGCCCACCCCATGGTCCGAGGAAGCGATGGAAGGACGTGGTGCGGACCGACCTGGCGGCAATTGGCATTGAGCCCAATTCCTGGCTCGACGTGGCAAGTAATCGCCGTGAGTGGAAGTCCCAGTGCCTTGATGGGGTGGATCGTATTGTACTTGCCCGTCAAGAGCCTGTTGACAAGCCTCTGCTTTGCGGTGTGTGCAACCGCAGTTTCCGCCGCCGTCAGGATATCGCACGGCATCGTTGCACATCGCGGCGTTCAATAGCAATTATAACCCGTGGGAATGCGCCGTCACGTCAGTCGTTGGGTCCTGGTGCCGCTTCCCGGAGACAGCGCTAATCCAAGAGCTGCCCCGTATGGGGCCACTTAGCCAGTCATGGCAGTGGAGAAGAAGGAAAGGAAGGTGTGTGTGTGTGTGTGTGTGTTTGTGTGTGTGTGTGTGTGTGTGTGTGTGTGTGTGTGTGTGTGTGTGTGTGTGTGTGTGTGTGTGTGTGTGTGTGTGTGTGTGTGTGTGTGTGTGTGTGTGTGTGTGTGTGTGTGTGTGTGTGTGTGTGTGTGTGTGTGTGTGTGTGTGTGTGTGTGTGTGTGTGTGTGTGTGTGTGTGTGT